AAAAACAAAAAGACACAAACATAGTTTGATGTAACTGCACCAAAAGAGAGTCAATTGTTAATGAAGTTTTCATGTCAGCTAATAATCACAATAGCAAAGTGAATAACAGCCCCAACATATACTGTCACCAGTTTATTATGAAATATAACAATGTGAAAACCGACTTTTCTGTGAAATTGAAGTAACTACATTATATGTCTTCTAAAATATAGACACATCAAATATGTACAAAAATAAATTATTATGTTTATATCAATACCTCTTGCATACCTTGAAAATTCAAATGTTACAAGCATATTTTTGTCTTTCCTAAGATAATTTCCAGGAGGATCATGAGAATGGCTCTTCCAGTACTAGCAGATAGTCATTCAGAACAACTTAATATAGGAATATTAACAATAATAGTAATGATACTAATAATAACATGATAAAAATAATGACGGTAGGAGTTCTTCATTGATTATATAATATGCCAGTACAATTGAGAGCAACATCTGATTGAAGAACTCTGAGTCATTTCCTCTCTAAGTGGAAGGATGTGGTTTTTAGAACATCTTGTTGGTAGAATTCAGTGGTGTGCTATTATTAATACTCATTCATTGGATCTGAAAGGCAGTAGAAATCATGTCTGAATGAAAAAAACAAAGCAATTTCCAAGCACAAATCTTAGATTATGAACTCGTGATCCTACGTATTTTCATCTTTGATTTCGATGGGCCAGGATGTGATATTCTATCAGACCATATTAAAAATTGTTATTAAATAACACGTCTAAACTTGAGTATAAAAATTATATTGAAAATTGGGTGAAATTTTTTAAAGATCCTTTTCTGTTTTATTCTACAAGTAAATACGGAAGGTCAGTTTGAAATTGACAAAATAAAAGTTTGAAAATTAAGTAGTTTAAAGAAAAAACTGAATAAACTAACAAGTAGAGTTCACACTTAATAGCTATCATGACATTTAGCAAATTGATTTTAAAGAGAAGAAAATAGCATTAAGCATAATGAGCATCTCTTTGTGATAATTTGTTTACCATTATTCTTTTTTAAAAAAATATTTTGCCAAATAAATTTTGTATATATGACAGTATTTAACAAGGGTAATATTGAAAGAGGTGATGTAAAATTATCTGTATTCATTCAAACTGGAAATCAAAATATTTTTAGATTGTAACACAGCAGAGATTTTAATAGAGAATGAAATAGGACTTAATGAAAGAATATATCAATATTAATTCATACAGGAAAAAGTTATAAAGATGAAGGAAGATTAAAATATAAAGCCATAGGAACTACGTAAGTAATAGGGTCATTTTGATTATTTATTTATTAATTTATTTATTTATTTAGCTACCATCAAATTAACATCATTAAAGCAATTTTATACTTAGGCTTGTATGTGCATTTTAATTCTTTTTCTGTGATATTATAGACTATACTACCATTGTGGTCGGATTATTGTTTTTTCCTTATTTAGAATCTGAATTCTGATAAGATCTATGTTTCCAGGTATGGTATCAGTGCTCTAGTGTGTGTACGTGTTTGTATATTTAATAGTATGTCTACCTATCTATATCAATTTTCTTCTGTTTTTCACCTTATTAAGTCTAAGGCTGAGACTTTGAGATATTTGTTAATAAGTGTATGAAAATCATCCAAATTCACCACACCAATATATTGACTATGTGAATGGAATTATGTGTCTTTTTTGTTATACAAACAGAAGGTAAAAACTTTGTTATGATTTAAATGTGGTGTCCCCCAAAAGCTCACTTGTAAGACAATGCAAGAAGGTTTAGAGGAGATATGATTGGGTTTAAGCCTTAACCTAACCAGTAAATTGATCCCTGATGGTATTAACTGAGTGGTAACCAGAGGCAGGTGGAGTGTGACTGGATAAAGTGGTTCATTGGTGGCATGGCTAAAGGGTTTATATTTGTAACTGGTGAGTGGAGTCTCTCTCTGCTTCTTGATAATTATGTGAACTGCTTCTCTTCACCACACTCTTTGGATATGATGTTCTGCCTTACCTCCATCCCTGGAATGGAGCAGGCCTTCTATGAAACCATGAGTCCTCAAATAAGCTTTTCCCCCTCTACAATTGTGCTGGCCGGGTCTTTTAGTCACAGCAGTGAAAAAGCTGACTAAAACAAACTTCCTCAGGGGACTTTCTTTTGATCTTTCACATTACCGTTTCAATTCTATGCAAGACACCAAACACAGAGCTTAGTAGAAGAACCAGCCCACTGAGATCTTTAATAACATTTGTGAAATGATGATTAAAAGGTTATTACTACAAATATTTTTTGCAGAACATTTTTCAAAATTATGATTTTGAATGTCTTTCTACTAAGTTCTTACCTGATTTCACCATATTACACATAATTTTAATATGATTGTTTCCAATTATCTGTAATTATAAATAATGCTGCAAATTATCTGTATGTATGTAAGCATGTTTTATTACGTTAGGAATCTCACCTAGGTGTTGCATTATTTTACCAAAGTATATTTTTAAGTCAGCAGTGTTTTCAAAGACACTGCCAAAGTTCATGTTTGTGTACATTATGGTTTAGTAAAATATTAAAAACTATGTTTTCATGTTTTATTTTACTCTTCCCAAGTTAATATGTGGAGTGCATTTCTTAAAGGAAAAAGTTTAAAATAATCTGATTAAAAATTCCCTACATACTAGTTCAGTTATATTAAGAATAAACAATAGTTTAAAAAATATTAGTAGGGCTGGGGTTGTGATTCAGCGGTAGAGCACTCGCCTAGCATGTGTGAGGACCTGGGTTTGATCCTCAGCACCATGTGAAAATAAAAATAAATAAAAATAAAGGAATTTGGCCAACTACAACTAAAAAATAAATATAAAAAATTATTAAACATAAAAATTGTATTTTCTCATCTAGAGATTGTATCATAGCCCTTCATTTTATGGCTAACAAAGATTGATGTAGGTTGTTACAGTAAATGTTTACCAATTATGATATATCAAATTAAGATTTTTTTGAAAATATTCCAAATTCATGCTATTTAGAATAAAGTGTGTGTGTGTGTGTGTGTGTGTGTGTGTGTGTGTGTGTAATGAAAAGACACTGACATTTAAAAAATCAAAATAAAGAATTTCATTGGGGTGGACCCTAATGAATTTTTATATATATATATATATATATATATATAATTTCACCTTAGTTCTTTGCTTGCAATAGATTGTGCAAATAGAAAAAAAATTGAAAAATAAAAATAAAAAAAGAAACTACCTTATCAAATGCATCAAATGTGTGTAGTTCTCATGAAATTTTGATTGGAATAGTTGCTAAAAATTAAGGTTGGCATTTAAACTTCAAAGTACAGTAGCACAATTTAATTTATTTTAAAATTTCTATGCTACTTTATAGCATAGAACACAATGTTTAACTTCATTTTTTTCCCTTATCAGAGAAATTCTAGAAGATGAGCTGTATCTTGCCACTTTAAATGCCTATCTGTCTTAGTTCTTGTACCACTCTCACTTTCTCTTTCCCTAGGTTTTGATTCTGAGCAATTTAATGTCCCCCATTGATTAGATTATTAATGCTGGAAACTTATTTAGAAAACGACACCACTTAGTTTAAGGGGATTAACGTCTAATACAGTTTTTGAAATGTATCACTTACCCTAGATTACAGATAGCAATTTGGGCATGTATTAAGTCTTTTTTTAAAGCCATACAAATGTAACCATAGTTTCTAGAAGGTAATCAGGCCATAAAACATTATTGTCAACCCAATTTCAAGTACTTTCCATAGGAATACAAATGTAAATTATGTCAGATTTCTTTAGCAACTTACTAAGAAGAAAAAAGACAATTCTAACCATTTTTATACAGAAAGAAAGAGAAAATGCTTTACTTTTTGTAAAAGTTGATGTTTCAAAAAATAGAATTTTACAATAAGTGCATGAATTTACATGTTTTCTTGGGAAAAATAAAACAGGAGGCACTTGGAAAAGACTTCTTTATTGTAATCAGGTTTCAAAAAGCATTATAAAAGCAAGAATATAAAATGATTTCTGAATTTCCTACCTAGCATTATAAATCCTACCTGAAGAACAAAACTTGAAAATAGAATAAGTCTGTCAAAACAGCTCTAAGCTAAGTACCATCACCCTCATTTTCCCCAGAGGCTGCAAGTTTCTCAGGCAGGTTAAGTAACTTGCTCAAGGTCACCTCGAAAGTACATGGCAGGAATGAACATGCATCAGACTTGGTTGCACATTAAAGCCCCATCCTCTATGGACTGTATCATGTTGTCTCCATGTATACAAGGAAAAAATGATACAGAATTGGTTCATGAATGAATGAAATAGGCTTTGAAAAAAAATAGATTTTGCTTTGTCACAAATACATTGTTTCCAAATCTGTAGAAGGACTTTTCCTGTTTCATTTATATTTTTAAACTCTACTTGAGAGTCTATTGGTATTGCATTTCTATAATCTTTATTTCTAAACTAGATATTTGACTGTAGCTATTTTATGGTTTTGGATTTTTTTCTTCCTAACCAACTATTTTTTCATGTTATGTTGCACATTTGCCAGACACATCATTTGTTAGAGAGGTTTCTATAACAAGGAATCTGTTATCTGGTTATTAAAGTCTGATGGGATTGACATACTCACATTCCTTCTTCCTTGATCTAAAATCGCATTTTACTGTATATGTTAAACTTCATGTTGAAATAAATTAAAGAATTTGAAGTTTTACAATTGACTTTCTATCTTTCCTAATGTGTTTGTGCACCACCATAGAAACAATGCAAACAAAACCATTAAAATAATTGGTGTATATGGATAGGATTTTCTTTCAATTTTAAACATGAGTTTTCTATAACAAAATTATTTTGCTTTAATATTGTATTGAGTAATTGATGAAAATTAATATAATTATTCAATAGTACATTCATGCACTAATTTTACAACGAACAATTATTTCTATATTTAAGAAAATGTTCCAAAATAATTACTGAAATAAATCATTAACTCCACATGCCTGATAAAGTATTAAACTGATGAATATAAAAATTGTATTATAATGTTGCCATGTAAACAAGTACTCGTTGTATAAATTCATGCAGTTTTTTGCGTTTGTTCTTGTAAATATGGGTTGATCTAAGTGTGTGTGTGTATGTGTGTGTATACAGAAAGGAAGGGAAAAAAAGAGAACTAAGACAACACAACTCAATGAATAGTACAACAGTGCCCCCTCCTGGATCTATTAGGCTTACTGACATTTTTTATAATGTCCTAGGGCTTCTATAAAGTATTTAGGATTAGTGCTATTTCTTGAGTTTTCCCCGTATTTTCCCACTCATATAGTTTCAAGTACTGATTTTTATGTTACTTTTAAAATACCCTGGAATATATTTTGTATATACAAAATTTCCTAGATAATATATATTTCCAAATTTACATTTTATCAGTGATGATAACAAAGCCAAACTCAAAAAGCACAATGCTATGAAAACAGATGCTTCATAAGAAGTAATTTCATTCATTCATTTTCTGACTATTGTAATTGGTAAGTCATCAACAAATACAAGTTTCTAATATCTTGTGTAAAATATAGTGAAAATGCATTTTAATAGATTTCACCAGTTTAACATACCAAATTTATACATACTTAGGTTTCCTATTTTTAAGAGAGTAACAATCCAAAAGCAAAACTCAAAATTAAAAACATTAATATTACATATATACATTTACAATATCAATAATGATCAGACATGTGAGATAAGCAAGATTTAAGGCTACTGAATAGACCACTTTTCTCCTTTGGTACCTCAATTTCTATAATGATGGAGAATAATAATATTCTTCCTCACCCAAGACCTCATATATCACAATCAGAGTGTATCTGATCAAACATTTTCAACAGTGTTCTGATTCACAATAGTGATCAATTGTAATTATTAATTTGAGCAATGTAATAAAAATTGTTGAGCTTTTATGCTAAAGAAATGTCAATGAATTGGAAGTAGTCACAATGTTGGAGACAATTCTTATTTCTCTTTTCCCTATTTGTTTATTTAATTATGCTTACTAACACTTTTATTCTCTTTCTCCTGTAAGTTTTAGTATGTAGGGTACATAGAAACTCACATTAGTCTATAAATATTGTACCTTATTTAAGTCTTTCTGGTTTGCATATTATTAAGACTAACTCTGCATATAAACACATTAAGCATGCTTAAGAATCTTAAATATGTCTGAAGAGATATACTCCTTTTTTCCAGTAGACAATATTTTATGACATTATGTGAATGTCCTTAGCCACTCTAATATTAATGCTAATTTTATGTAACCTGTTTTCCAAAGGTCTTTTAATGAACTCCTACTTCATTCTTCTTTGCAGAAAGACTGGAGCTCCAGAATCATGATACCTCTCCATTATCTCTGTAAAATTGTGATAAGACATTATTTAAAACATGGAATAATATCCTCGTCCAGATTTCCTGCCCTTCAAACATTATTCAATCACTCTTGAATCCCCAAAAGATAACTTCTCAAATATTTCAACTAATGTAAATGTGGAGTGTTCTGAAACAAAATGAAAAAATGAATAATGAAACAATTCATTATAATAGAAGAGGATTTTAAATACTTATGACTTAGTGATCTGTATGTAATTCAAATAATCAGAGTATTGTGAAGACATTTCTCTCATCCTATTAATACAGCAGCAGACATATTTTGTGGCTCCTGCGTTAGTTTTCTGTCATATAGTTCCCAATTACATGAACATCTACCCCAAATGTAAAATAAGTTTTGTTTGTACATCAGGGATTTTTATCTTTCTAAAGCTTTGTGCTTTACTTTCTGTACAAAACAGTTTAGAAAATGTTAAGCTTAATAACAAACAACTTCAAAAATATGTGATGATCTCTCTTTAAATGTATCTATAACAAAATTGACTTGAGTGGCCAATACATATGTTAATTCTCATAATCAATGAGAATCAAACATACTATTAAAACAATTCTTTAGACCTAGGCACAGTGGTGCACACCTGTAATCCCAAAGGCTGGGAAGGCTGAGGCAAGGGGATCACAAGTTCAAAGCCACCTCAGCAACCGAGAGGCACTAAGCAACCCAGTGAGACCATGTCTCAAAATAAAATCCAAAATAGGGCTGGGGATGTAGCACAGTAATTGTTGCGTGCCCTTGAGTTCAATCCCCAGGAATCAAAAATTAAATAAATAAAAATAAAAAATTCTTTGGGAACCAATTTTCTATCAGGTATGGCCATGCACCAAGAGTACTGACCAATAAAATAAGAGCAAACTGAGGTGCACCTCTTGGGCCTGCCCCTTTCAATTTTTCGAAAAGTCATTCTTTTCTCTTTTCCCAACAGACTCACTGAATAGAATGGACTCCTGAAGGAGCCCAGAGCTCATAATGGAAAAAGTCTTACTGACCTTATTGCAGAGCCCACTTATTTATGCCTCTATCCCCATACAAGTTTCACTGGAATAGAAAAAATAATATTTTATTGTGAGAAGTAATGGAAATGTTGGGATTGCTTGCTATAGCAATTTATTTTACAGCTCTATAAAAATTTTAAAATTTTAATTTGTTATGTAGATGACAGCAGAATGCATTACAATTCATATTACACATATAGAGCACAATTTTTCATATCTCTGGTTGTACACAAAGTAGATTCACGCCATCTATGTCTTCTTACATGTACTTAGGGTAATGATGTCCATCTCTTTCCACATCTTTCCTATCCCCAATGCACGCTCCCTTCCCCTCCTATCCCTTTGCCCTATCTAGGGTTGGCTCTTATTTTATTGGCCAGTACTCTGATGCACGGCCATACCTGATAGCAAACTGGCTCCCAAGAAGAGCCAAGTAACCTCTGGCACAGTTGAAAGTTAGGAAAAAAGAATGTTGGCTTTTATTTTTGGTACCAACACCTGTATTAGTCTAGATTTAGATAGGAAAATTGAATCTGTTCTAACATGTTCATGTGGGAAGGGATTTAATACAGGGCATCAAAGACTTACAAAGATATCTAAGAGTGTGGTTTACAAAAGTCAAAGAAGCTTCTGATACTGTTAAGGAAATCAAATCCAGAAAAGACAGGAATCTCAGGCAACCAGTGCTGATTACCTCACTGCCTAAAGTTCGGAAGTAAGTAGTTTCTAGGAAGTGCTGGCAAAATCATCTTACCTGCTCTCTGCTGAAGCCCATGTGCCTTCCTGTTACCATGGAAGTAATAATGGCCCTTCCAGTCTTCCACCAGCAACATCTGATTGGCAGGCCTTCAACCTGAGCCCAATAGCAGAAGCATCTGAGAAATACTGCAATAAAGGAATGAAAAAATAAAGGAGTGGAAATGATTCAACAGAAGATTCAACCTAGGGATGCATTTTTGTTTGCTTTATGTAGGTTTTATTTTGGAAACAAGAAATAAACAGCTCTATATATTCAAAAATAAATAAATATAGTAAAAAATTCCTTAGAATCTCTTGCAATGGAAATTTCTTCCATAACTCCATACATCCATATAAAATATACTTTATAAATATTTAGCTTAAGATTTTTATATTTTGAGTAAAATTAGGTAATACTGAGTAAAATTAGCATAAAAATTAGCAGTCACACAAAACCACTGATAAGATATTGGGGGTTACAGACACCTTCAATAAATTTTTTACATCTTGAAATATGTAAATTATTAGCCAATTCTCATGATGAGTCCACTAAAGAGCTATGTGTTTGAGGGACTTAGTTCTCTCTAATAAAAGAAAATACTGGGCATATAAACTTGGTGCAAGAATCAAAACCAACTATATGAGAAGAGCACTCTAATTGCAGCACAATACAAGTTTTCATTACCATTTTCTTACATCTTTAAATTCCTCCAGAATTTCAAGCACATAGTGCTATTCTAGAAGTATCCCTAAAGAAGTAACAGCATATCCTCACTGAAGTCTATAAACTACTAAAAGTCAGAGAGTAGGCAGCTTGGGGAATATTCTCCAATATTTTGGAAGATGCTTATTATTTTATTAGTGCATAATAGGTTTACATAATTGTGAGGTTCATTTTTATATATGCATGAATCCATATAACATAATTTGCTCATTTCTATCTCAAATACTATCCCTTTCCCTCCGCTCCCAACTTCCCCTGAACCTCTATAGTAGAGGTAGAGATTCTCCTCTATTGGTCTTCTTTCTCTTAATTTATGTTTTTAATTAGTATATTATAGTTATGTGTAATTCATTCTGGTATTTAGATCAGAAAGGAAAAACAAGATGAGTGACATGCTTTGTGAATTTTTTCACGGTTTATATCTGTAACACTATAATTATAGAAAAGAAATCACAGTTTTGTTCGAGTGAACAACAAAGTTGACTTGAGTGACCAATACATGTTTCAAATTTTCTAGGCTTCATTTGACCTTATTAGTTTATACGACTTGATACATTTCTCAATTGGCATATTCATACATGGCCCTGTTACCATAACAGAGGAAAAAAAATGAAAAAAAGAGACAGAAAATAATAAGAATTATCAGAAGAAATTTCTAGTTTTTACAACTCCAAGGACAAATTCCATTTTTCTCTTTTGGAATCTTTTTTCACATTAGAAATTCTCAGGCTAAGATATTTGGACATAACTTCCCTTTAGTCCATTCAGAGTTCCTAATCATTTTAGCAGTATAGCATACATAATTCATGACTGTAGTATCTTAGCTCATTTTCTGTTGCTGTAACTAAGCACTTGAGACTGGGTGATAAAGAAGAGACAGTTATTTAGCTTGTAGTTTGGAGATTGAAATCCCAGATCAGGCAACCACATCTTGTGAGAGTCTTGTGGTGCACCATGACATGGCACAAAAGCAAAAGGACAAGAGAGCACATGTGAGAGTGGCTGAATACAAGGTTGAGTTTACTTTGTTTATATCAGGAAGTAAATTCATTCCCAAGGTACAGCATCAATCCCTTCATGAGGGTAGATGCATCATGGACCAAATGCCCCGAAGAGGTCTCAACACCATGACATTGGGAGTTGATCCTCAATATGAGTTTAGGTGGAGACAAGTTGTAGCAAATACAATATGCATATTCTGGGGGGATTTAGTGACACTTATATGGAGTTTGAGTTTTGAAATAAAATTTATTATATTTTATAATCTGAAATTATTTTTAATAAATGCAAGATAGATAAGATATCAAAAGCTGATTGAAATTTCTCTTCAAGAATGTTGATAAAGGGCTGGGGATGTGGCTCAAGTGGTAGTGCGCTCGCTTGGCATGCATGCGGCCCAGGTTCCATCCTCAGCACCACATACAAACAAAGATGTTGTGTCTGCTGAAAACTAAAAAATAAATATTAAAATTCTCTCTCTCTCTCACTCTCTCTCTCTCTTAAAAAAAAAAAGTTTTAAAAAAAAGAATGTTGATAAAGAAAAGGCTTGTTCCCATAAACATGATTTTGTGTCAATTGTTACAAATAGAGAGTTATAGACAGTTTTTGATTTAAAAACTTTTTAATAATGATCTTCCTAAATTACTCATTCACTATTTATTAAAAGTTTTTTCACACAAACACACACAAAAAATATCTAGTTCCAAATTGTCTTTGAGGATAAGAAGAGCTAAGCCTGGATGATATCAAGGCACATTCCCAAGTAGTTTTAGAAGTTTAAGTGCCATGATTGCATCACAGAAATTTTGGTAGACCAAACTTTCCAGTGAGGGTGTTCTCTAAGATCTATCCACTCTCAACAGGAAGGAGAGGACGGAGGAGTCATACTCATACCTTCAGAAGTCTAAATTTTGCTATAAAGTAAATGCATGCTCTCCGTGTATTGGACATGAGAGGCCAGATTTTTATATCTGGAGAAATAGGATGCTATACACAGATATCCTATTCTCACCCTGGAGGCCACATTTTATTTCAGTCTTTCTTCCAATCCTTGTTACCTGCTGACAAATAGAAGCATTATTCCACTTTAAGGGAGAGACAAGTGTAGAATCAGAAATATTCTGCAAGCACTCTGGGGAAGTGACTTCTCTACTCTTCTTGTGGTTTCTGATGATCCTTCTGAGCCCACTGAGATAATAAGTACATCATAATGATCAAAGGATTCTTTCAACACCCCTATAACATTTCCTCTAGAAAAATCAGTGTTTGAGGAGATAAATTGATGTTATTGAATTAACACTCAAAAATGCTTTTCCTGTGTTATTTCTCAAATTGAATCATACCCAGCTATATTGTCCAGCACTGCTGATCAGATAACCCTAAAAACTAAAACCTCTGGGGCAGCAAGCACAGAGAAAATAGAACAGATATGATTTGATGAATGGTGGTGAAGTAATTGAACAAATTCAGCAGCTCAAAAAACAGGATACATGTGCAATTTATATATTTTAGCTTCAAAAAATGACAATCAATTCATCAATGGTAATTATCTAATTAAGAACTGTTCTTGAATACTACTCCCAGAATATTCTATATTCTCTATTTTTTGTGCTCTAGTTATTTTTAACTAAAGAGAAGTTAAAGATAACTGAAAATACTTAGGAATAAAGAATCCTTCTATATAATTTACTTTACTCTCACTCCACCCCTAAATCTTTAAAGCTCTTTTTATTAAAACCAATTTGACAGCAATTTCTTTTTAATGATTTGCCTTAAGGGAGTATCTCCAAAGTATTCCACTTAGTGCATACAGAACAAAATAAATCTATTTTCCCTATACTCATGCATCATCCTTTTGCATATTACTTAATTAAATCACATAAATAAAACACATGCTGAAACGAGCACAAACAGTCAGGGGAATAGTACAACTAATTCTTGGTAAGTATTTAAATGAAAGATAACTCAATAGTCATGGCTATTGGAAAGAATATGAAACGTCGGTTAATATGTCATATGGAAGCAAACTATTAAAGATTCTACTATCTTGACTTCTCAGCAATTATCTGATGTGTAAAAAAGTAAATTTAAAAATCCTTTCCTACATCAACCTCTTATTCCTACATAGGAGTTAAATTCTTCTAAATAAAATTCTTCTCTCTTTGTAACATGATTTATTCAGTAGTAATTTTTCCTCTCCAATCTTCATTCAACTAAAAACAGCTGTAATGCCACACTCACTTGCCTATGGCCAGCATGGACTTTATCATTTTTTTTTCTACAGATGTAGTCACTTGAATCATTCTCAATAGTAATTAGACTAAAATCTTCTTTGGGAATCTACAAAGCTGGTTAGCCAACTTTATTCAGTCTTGAGTCCCTATTTCTTTGTTGTCAGCACGAATGTAATTTATGCAATAGATCAACTCTTTAGAACCAAATGAAAATAGACACTAATTTTTATAATCTAAACACAAATTACCCTAGAAAAATATTATCTATTATATGTAATTTAAGTGCTCAAAAGCAATGTATATGACGATTTCATTTTAAGGTATGGAGTCAGGAAATGACATAGAAATCACACTGATAGCTATTTTAAAAACATAGACATGTATACACCTTATTCTAACATACTTGATTTCATACCTGACTGATGGTCAGTAGTCAAACTTGATATTTTGTGGTTTTTAAAATTTTCACATTTTAGTAAGGTTTTCCACACTGTGACCAAAAACACCCAAAAAGAACAACTTAGAGAAAGAAAAGTTTATTTTGGTTTATGGTTGCAGAAGTTTGGTCCATTATCTGTTGAGTCCATTGATTTGGGACCAAAGTGAGGCCAAACATAAAGGTGGAAGGACATTACATAATACTCCACAGTGGTTCAGGGATGCAGTTCCATGATAAAGTTTTTTTTTTTTT